AAATGGGCAAAGGGATCCGTTGGTGACACCGGGGAGAAGTCTTCGGTAGGAGAGCGAGGCTCTCTCTGGAATACCAATTGATCCATGAATGGCCGGGAGTGATGTGGGGCAGGCCCACTTGCAGAAATCGATATTCTTCTTGTATCCAATGGTAGAGGTGCAGATACATGACGCCTGGCACCGTGTGTAGAATCTGAATTCCGTTTTTTATTCCTTAAGCTTCCTGCCCGAGGTATCCATGTGGTCGGTGAATTGAAATGCATAGAGAGTGACCGCCTTGGAGGCTTCTGATCTTCTGAATCATCTTCATCCATAGGCGAGCTAGGGATGTCTTCCATTGTATTTTGATCAATTGGTCCGTCACAAAGTAGCCCTCCTTCGTCGTAATACCCTTCCATTTCTTCCGTCGAAACAGTGATTAAATATGGTTTGACCAAAGTCGGTCGAACGGTATGATCTGGCATCACCCGCTTTGAGGTCCAGAAAAAATTATGCACATTCCCATCTCCTGATCTTCCGGCGGATCTTTCTCTGAAAAACCTGGTTGGTCGGGAGTTGAAATACATACGCCAGGAGCTGCGAGGTGATTCACTAGATTTCCTCAAGGGTGTAGCATGTGTGGATACCGTTGACCGCCTTGGGGCAGTGGGACGCGCTTGCGTTTTCGTACCTGGAGAATCATCGATGAATCGTTGCTGCAGCGTAGCCGAACGTTGATGACTGGTAGCTGGTCTGCGTAAGGTCGGTACCTGCGCTCTTGATCCACTCGAGTCTGGTTCCCTACGATATCTCTGCGACGAGTGCCTCTTGACCAGTTTGTTCGGAGGTAATTGCGTGGGACTATCCCGAGGGGATGACAATATAGGTGTCGCGGAGCCATGGGAGAGCGCGAGAGAAGGCGATTCTGGTGCGATACTTGATCTGGGACTGCTACTTCCCGATACTGGTATAGATAATTTGCGAATCCAGGAACTGCGAGATGATGAAGAATCCCTGACCACTTCCTCCCCCGAAACATCGTTTTGTCCTTCGCCTGATCGCAGTAGTGACCATCTTCGCGCCGCGCCGTTTTGCGATGCAGTGGGAGAATCGAGTTTTGCATTCGAGGAACGTCGAAGGAATGTTGTTAAGGTTTGGGAGCCAGGGGCAGATGAGGAAGTCGGTGCATCAGAAGGATTGCGACTTTCTGGAGTGGCCATGGTAGAACTCGTAGGGGGTCGTGAGACGATAGACGGTGTACCTAGATTAGAAGAATTGTCGACATCTGTAATGATATCTACGGGTTTCCTTCTTTTCGAAAGTGTGCGAGAGGGAGGAGTCGACTGGTCTGGACTTCCCAATGCCAGGCCAGCAGCTGCGACACCGACGGTACTTGAAGCAACAAGCTATAAAAAGGAGAAATAGTAATTAGTATTGAAAGATAGAACGTAAATGAAGACGAAGGTTGTAGAAAAAAAATGTTGAGAGTTGTGCAGGGAGACCAATGAGTGAAGTCGAATGAGGAACAAGATATCAATTGAATTTTTGAGAATGTAGATTGGAGGACTTACACTGGGAATGGTCTTCATCTTTCACTTATATTGCTTACACCACTACCAAGAAGGAGAAAGAAGTAACGGAGGAAATATCGTAATCGTCAAGAGCCTCATGAGTATCGTAAGTATTCCATACCAAGAGGAAGATTTTAGATTATCTTTTTGGGTAATGGATGTGGTTGAAATTAGAGATGGAGTGGTAGGTAGTGGTGAGTGAGTGTGGTGGTTGTGGTGGTTGTGGTGGGTGTGGAGAGTATCTTTTAGAAGGAATGGGTTGGGGGGTGAAGTGCACCAAAACACCAATATCGCAGATAGGGTAAATAATAAACACTGGAAATGGAGAAAGATGGAAGTTCTTTCTTTTTCGATGTTTGAAAGTAATGAATTGTAAAGTAATTTTGGGAGGTATAAATCGAAGGCGTAAAATGGTAATGTGAAATGGGGTACACAATTCTCTTTGCTTTTTCTCGAATGATACCCAAAAAAGGGAGGAATTGAGTTTGGAGAATACGGTATGAAGTGGATGTGGATATTCAGAAAATATGTGGTTTATATTGAGCGTCGAGTCGATTCCTCCGTCCTGTACAGAGGGGAGGGAGGGAGGAAGGTGTGTGAGTATGTAGGTAGAGTCGCACCGGTAGTAGTATCAGTCATGAAAAGAGTGTGTAATGAATGGGGCCAAAAGCTATCACCCTTTGTAGGAGTGAATTTTGAAGTTTGGTGGTAAATAATGAATCTTTCTGGGCGAATTGAAACGAATTGAATGTGTAGAATGTGTAGAATGTGTAGAATGGTAGAATGGTAGAATGGTAGAATGGTAGAATGGTAGAATGGTAGAAAGATCCAATGGTCGAATGGGCAAAGAAGGTTGAGATGAATCCCGAGGTCCCAGACAAGTAGAGTCGAGCCTTTCAAAACCAAAGGAAGAGGGCAAAAGGCATGAGGTATCCGATCAGATCAGATTGGATGGTCGTATCATATGAGTGAGGATGGGTATAATATGAATGAATATACGGAGCAGGTATTACTCCTCGCTACCTAGCACCAGCAGAAGCACCCGCACCAGCACAATTCAGTCTGCGATAATATGGCATTCGAATTTCGGTCGGTATGCGGTATGGGTCCTAGGCATGCGGTAAGCGTGCGGTATGCGAAAGGCTTTTGGTTTGCTGGATTCTGATCGACGGAGTAAGACCTTTCGAGAGTAAAAAGATCCAAGCTAGGTCGGAAAGGGAAAGGTCTGCTTGTTCGCATGCAATTGATTGGCTGCAGCGGGATCATCATCCAAGGTTCACACTACCACTTTATACCTCTCTTACCACTTTATACCACTTTTACCACTCTCACCTCTCTTACCTCTCTCGCCTCTTTGCTCTCCATTGTAAATTTGTAACTTCCCGTCAAGGTTAAATCGCAATTCTGGGATCGTGGTGGATGCTTCATTGGAGCTAACCAAGCATTCAACACTTAAACCCAGCAACTCATTATTAGGTGGATCCAATCGAGTTATAGCATTAACTTAAGCAAACCTGAGAGTTCCATCGGTTACCAGGTATCGACAAAGTACTGACCCGCGTTTATTCACGTAGCTCGCTTTTCCCCTGCATTTATGAATCCAGAGAGAAGAAGATACGGACCGCTCTACATCATACCACGGTCATCGTGATTGGTCAAGGGGATGTGAATTCCCCCATTCGCTTCCATCTGGGAGCTGCTAGGTTGCTTGATCTTGATGAGCTGTGGGTACCTGGTACATATCATTCTCACATATACAGAGCACAGAGTAGAGAGAGACCACACAGAACTAGTTCATAGATACCATACACACTTCACGTATATCATACAGAGTTCAGATGCTTCATGTAACAGTTGACCCTGACAACGTGATCAAAAGCCCTGGGGTGAGAAAGCTTAATCGCCGTTATACATCATCCCTTATCCCATCTTATTCTAGAAAAGTTGATACTGACTACAACTACGAGATGTTCACGGTGCACTGTCAAAATCACGTACGACTTTACAAACACTTGCCTCCGCTCGCCTCTTAGCTGCGTACCCTAACACCCTAGATTCACTATTGTCCGTCCCGTAAGGAAGGTGGACAGACCACGCGCTTGTTATCTATCTCAAGTGCCCGTTCATCTTGGTTAGTTTCGCTTCATTGTCCCATTGCCATTGGCCGGCATCTAGAAAACAAGGAAGGGAGAGCTTTTGAGTGTAAAGTACGATAAAAGTTTGGATGTCAGGGTACCTAGCCAGCCAAAGTCTATAAGCATCCGAAGTTTCGATACTTTCCAGACTACTGTGTAAGGTATGGGGGGGCTCATATAGGGTAGTTCAACATTCGAATCTGGTCCGCAACGAATGCAACTATCAGAACGGACGTACGATGTACGTAACATGTGACCCGGCTAGCTTAGCCTTAGCTAGTCGCTCAGATCAAAGAGAATCTGAGAGAGATCACATTAATAAGATCAGTTACTACGCCACAACTTATTTCAGTCTTCCAGTGCCTCACAACTCTTTTGAGTATCGGAAATATCGACATCTTGAAACCTTGATAGCATCAAAATATATCACAACACACACACACATGCGGGCCAGTCAGTCGTCGTCTACTTGTGACAGGAAGAAACACGATCTCCGCCTTTAATTTTCGACAATGTTTACATGCTGAAACAAGCGAGGGATATTCTGGGGGTTATCGGGACATCATGGGTGTAGATCTGGTTCACGAGTCAACGAGAATATTATGAGACCACATTCAATATAAGATGCATTCGTTTCTTTCCCCTCCTCTTCTTTGGGAATACTAATCAATCGCACATGTTTATTATATCTGATCACAAACATAAAGATCTTCCCGCCAAGATCTTATAGAGTTATGATACTGTTGCAATCCGTAATGCTGCGGTCAGCATCGGTATACTATATCCTTATGAAAACCTAGAGTCTTCATCCGAAGTCTTCACACAACACTCCATTTCGTATCTCCTCTGTGCAATCATATGTTTCGCGGGGGGACATGGAAGAAGACGTGATTGATAGATAGTACAGGATGCTTGTTTCAGATGCCGACGAACACTACGGTAACATTATGCAGACAGCTTATGAGTTTTTTTCCATACGAAAATTCGGCAGAGCTCTTTTGGGATAATTGAATCAAGGAGGATTGATTATTGATTTCCCAATAAAAGAATCACAATGCCATAACAAAGTATTCTTATCCTCCCAACAGGGCTGAGGTGGAAAAAAGTAAGCATCATCCGAAGACAATGGTCCTTATGGTAATAAGGTTACATTTTCAGAAAGGCTCGGAGCCGCCACACCAGGGGTTCTAGGATGGCTCAATTCAACGATTGCGAATGGCTGGATGGCTGGATTAGCTGGATGCTATACATCGAACCGGCTACGATGTACAAACTAATTATTTAGTTGCTTTTGGTAGGTAGGCACGCTCGGGCTTCAAGGTAAACAAAACCCCAACCCCTCTTTTGGCGAGGGGTTATGATCATCATGGAAAAGCATTGAGCAATGAGGGGGAGGCGAAGGAAAGATGTTATCGGCGTCAATTCCGAATGTTAAAAGTACTACCTTTAAGGTGGTAGGTAGATAGGTGAAAATGACATTGCCATTATACTCTTCTGTTGAATGCGCGATAGATATCGTATATGTCCAATGGAACGTGTTTCCTTGCTCTTGCTTTCCTCTGCTCTGCTCTGCTCTGCTCTGCTCTGCTCTGCTCTGCTCTGCTCTGCTCTGCTCTGCTCTGCTCTGCTCTACTCTGCTCTGCTCTGCTCTGCTCTGCTCTGCTCTGCTCTGCTCTGCTCTGCTCTGCTCTGCTCTGCTCTGCTCTGCTCTGCTCTGCTCTGCTCTGCTCTGCTCTGCTCTGCTCTGCTCTGCTCTGCTCTGCTCTGCTCTGCTCTGCTCTGCTCTGCTCTGCTCTGCTCTACTCTGCTCTGCTCTGCTCTGCTCTGCTCTGCTCTACTCTGCTCTGCTCTGCTCTGCTCTACTCTGCTCTGCTCTGCTCTGCTCTGCTTTCTTCCTTACTTGCATCGCATTACATTGGAGGATTCTTTACTCCGTACCATCATAACGCATCTTCCCCGTCATTGTTGATAGACTCGCGTGTTTAATTGTCCAATCAAGGAGGGTATAAGATCTATTGCGGTACAGCTTTCTCACCAACCCTGTCCCTGCCTGCATGTCGCCATCTTTCGAACCAAGATTTCGTTCCCTGATCAGTCATAACAAGAGCAGGCTACCTAGACATGTATGAAATACGATGCGCCGGGCTTTTCAGCTGATCGATTTTGATTGATCCGCTTTGCGACGTACAAACACTGCGGTAGATCAATATCTTGGTTTTTCAATGGAGACGCTTTGATAACATGAGAAGTGATAGATCATGGAAGGGAAGCTCTCATTGTCTTCTGGCCTTCTACGCGTTCTAGCGGAGATAAGTGAAGCGGGAAAGACAGATGTAACCTAAAAAAGTAAAATAATACATGAGAGCAAACAAGGACGGCTTAGATCATCTTCTAGGTTCTTCCACAATAGCGAGACATTTTCTGACAGCCCACTGCCCGCTTCTTCCTCCCAACATGGTATTCATTCCTACGATATTCGTGACCGAGTTGCTTTCCGGCGCAATGCGCATCTTCTTCTTCATCTGTAAATGAAAGAACATCTGAGCCTTGAAGATCTGTACGTACAGCAAGCAACCAGGGAGGGACTGAAAAGGGTTCCTCACATATCAGAAAAGTTCCCAGGTCCCTAGGTACATACCCAAAAAAGCTCCCCTGGTATATTTTTTGCCGCCGAGCTAGGTCTACCCCTTCCCAGATCTCCCCCTCCCGGAATTAGACACTTGACAACTCACACCTACATACATCCATCATCCTTTGCTACCGGCAGCAAACTCCGCACGCCACGGAAATTATTCAGAGCTCCATCGCAATTGCAATCCAAACTGTTTTTCCTGTTCCTGTTTGACAGTGAGTGAGTGTGTGGATTCGATGTGGAGAGACTCCGATAGCAAGATTTTCCTCCAGAGGCACAACATTCCAAAATCCCATTCCAGCTTTCATGGGAACATTATCGCTATCCTTCATGCACGCACTCTTTGTAGGAGGAAAAACAGGCCGGAATTGACCACTAGCAAAGCCCTTGAATAATCCGATTGTTCCATTCTAATTCAGAGAATTAAATGTTTAAATACTTTTAGAATTGAAGATTATTCAAGGATTGATTAGATATCATTAATTTTTGTATTTTTATTATCTATTGATTTATTATAGAATTTATTAGGGTGATTAAGTTTGGCCTCTTTTTTCTCCCAAGCAGAGACGCACTGTACACATGAGTGAGGTTATCCGCAGCTGCATATGCAACCCAGACCTATTTCCACAACTGCTTTGGTACGAAGCGTACCTATTATTATCGGTACCATATATTTTCTCGCGGTATCTAGATTTCAAGAACCATGGATCGTACGGAATGAGACATGGGCTTCGGCGACATACTATGTAGAGATTTCCCTTGCATCTGGGATGACCAGGTCAACACATCAAAATTTCTGATTGTGTTTTCCATGGTCACTTTTCACATTTTACAGATTTTTGCTGTTGATATCCGAATCCGAAATTTAGTTCTACACACACGAGAGAGGGAGATCGCGATCTGGAGCGGCCGACGCGTTAGATTCGTGTCGTAGGAGATAAGGGAATATGGATATGCCATGCGCGACGAATTGGTCTTTTATTGAAAAATGAAATTACAATTCATCTCATAGCGCTGTCATTCAACCCGGTCATCGTAGAACTATATACCAATGCATCTACGTTCCCATCCGAACATTTCAGATGAGACAATAATCAAGCATGTTATGAATTCATATATTGCCGTTGTACATTCTAATACCGTGCCGTCTATCTGTACTGTACGCAAAGACCAAACCAAACATATCGTGCTGGCGCAAACAAATCGCTGCATCCATCACCGCCTCTGCAATTTCCTATCTCCAAGGGATCTTTCTCTCTCTCCCTTTGAAGTCCAACCAATACCTCAGATTAAGCATGCAGTATGAGAGTTCGTGCAGCTTCACGAAACCAATAAGGATTTGCGAATTGCGTCATATTATTCTAATAATAAGAGGGCGATATGCATCTGCACCTACTAAGGTGCCCATCTCCTCTCCCTTGCATTCGAAGAATCATTAGTTTCCGCCCATTTATGGATTGTGAAAGATGATCATTGGCTGCGTGGCCCCATCCTCCAGAGAGAAAATATATTGCATTCTGGGGAAATGAAGATGGGAACATGTACAATGTACTCCACCGTTGTCATGGGAAAGGTCAATCACTTTAGGTAGAAGAGAAAAATAAAATTACCATTCATCAACGTGTCAAACATTGAAGAGGGTCGAGACCTCTGCCGGATTGCGAGAATAGATTATTTTACCGCCGACCCGTTGTAAGGTTCAAGAGTGTAAACGAATAAAATAAACGAGGGAGAGGCCTAGGGAGATCGAACGGAAGAACAAACGAAGGACAGAAAAGAAAGAAAAAAGAAAAGAAAGACCGAGAAAGACAATGAATGAAGATTAGCTGCTATAGATCGATTAACAATAGGCAATTAGCAAAGGCTTGATTTATATCGCTCGTTAAGCTTCATGAATTGGAGATTGTGTCTTTTCTCAAGTCGATCATTATGATTTTCTAAAGTCGCTTCGATGGGTCGGAAAGAGATAACCTACTGTACTCATAGTACCTAGGTACATATACCTACCTGTGAACTTGATATCAGCTGAAGAGTAACATTTCCCTCCCTACCTGAGGAATTCAAGATTTTGGAGAAGCCTCCTCAAACAACTCCACATCCAATCAAACCTAAAAATGATCCTTCACAAGAGGCACAGCAAATATCGGCCATGCCGGGAAGTCTAAACGGAAGTGGGGTTTTTGCCTTGGCAACCGGGCATAGACAGACAGACAGACAGACAGCACAAAATACCTACCTATGTACCTCAGTATTTTGTGCAATGTTGTGTCATCACATGATTGTTCTACCACGTGCGACTGCTTCGGAGGGAGGGTCTTTCGTCCGAGGTTTTGCAATGTTATGGTTGCTATGTTACTACCATTTTGTATTTTTCGGACATTTTCACATTCTGTTCCCATGGATCATGGACTGTGAGATTGATGGGATGCACAGCATATAATGGAAATGGAAGATGAAAGTAAGGTTGCAAGGTGATTTCTACAAGAACAAGGTATCTACCTAGTATATCTATACTTCACTTCACTCCCTTCAATTTGTTGCAGAGAACGATCTCTAAGATCCATGGAAAGAATGTCCCATCTCCTATTTTCTATCTCCATCTGTCCCTCTTTGAAAAATTTTGAACCCAGCTAGATAGACAGCCTTCTAGTAGCCAGTACCTATCTTTTCCATTCCCCAAACCATCAAGCCTATCCATCTATCTACTTCAGCCCAGTCCTACGTCTCACAAGCCCCCAATCACGTCTTCCATCCTTCTCGTACCCGAATCCGGGAGTTCTAACATCCATCCCCTCTGCGGGCTCTTCGGGCAACACTCGTTACATATACCAGGTACAGATGACTCTGCGGGCCTCCAAACCCTCAAGACGTCACCGACATGCAGCCAGAGAATCCTCTCGGAGAAATCCCAATGCACGAAATATACATCTCGTGTTCCATAACCCCCAATACTTTGTTCTCTCTCTCACGGTCTAGTTCTCGCGCAAACATGGCATTTCAAACACCGCATACTCAATTCGCGTGGCTGTGACTAGCCCGGTTGACGCGTATGTAGAGTACGGTAGTTAGATATGCCAAATCTCTTTTGTCATCTCTTCGGAAATTGTGTCTGTGGTGGGAAGCTCGTCATTTCCATCTGTCTGTGAGGTCGCGGGCAGGAGGTTCCTTGTTGTGAAATTGCCCATGTCTAAATTGTGATTACAAAAGTTTATGGGGAGGCTGAAAGTTCGAGAATGTTTTGTGCACGGATGGGCGCGACCGGTAGCTGGTGCTTTTGGTAGTGGCTGTGTCTTGATTAATTTTTCGGGGAAATTTTTCACCTCGCTTTGACGTGCTGCTAGAGAATTAATAAGACGGGGATGCTAACTACTGGCGGTTGTTTCAGTTGGACTTTGAATTTTGTTGAGGGAGCATTTCTTGAGGCTCTGTGCAAGATGGCGGTGTAGATGACGATCGAGATGTCGATGATTAAGGCATCGGATAATGAGATTGCCATGATCTCATATCCATGGATTTCCCTTGCCTATTCAAAGTTGAATGAGTATTCTGAGCTACCGGTAATCTATGAGCTCATAGTGAAGAGTTATATCTAACCAGTGAACGAGGTCAGATGTTCGAAATGCAATTTGTTGACTCTCAAGACGGGTAGGACCGTTACGTCCTTTCAAAAGTCAATCGAGTTGAGAAGATAATTATGTATGCATTATGTTTCAAGTCTCGTTAATATTCTGTTGTGACAATGTACCTATGTAACTGAGAAGTCTCGTTCTATCATTCTAGTGCCTACCACTACCAATTTCAAGTCATTTTCGATATCAAGAGACTACGCATCGCTGTAGATTTCTTGCAAGTTGAATACTCTACTGTGATACTCCATGTACATCCGCATCTTCATCTGACATGATCCCGTTTTTTTATTCTCACCATGAAGCGCTCAATATATTGGCTCGTCCTCCTCCCCAGTAGAAAACGCGATTTCTCCAGTCCTAGCTGCTTGCCCAGCAACACTGGAACCAGTATATCCGGCTCTATTCCTCGCCGCAGGCTGCTCAGCTCATTCAGTCTCTGGAAAGTTCACGCGACCCCGTACCATTATCTTCGATACGAATGGAGCGCTCCTGATTCTTCAACAGAAAGCGAGTATTGCACATGTAAAGTGGACCGATGAACTCGAGCAATATACATCCACGGAACTACACAGTAGCTACTAGCACAGTTAGAAGCACAAACCGACTCCTCGTAACAAACAGTACGGCACCTCCACGTCCACATCCCCTCATCACCTAGAAAACCCTCAACCCGACAATTCCAAACCCGACCAATGACGACCCTACCTCCCGCTCCCTGCTAACTGCTAAACACACATACAACTAATTCCTCTTCTCGCGACACAGCTTTCGATATTGATACTAAAGCTGAGTTTTGATCTACAGAGCACTGCCAACGAATTCCTTCAATCTCATCTCATAACTTCCGAGTCCCCTCCAACAACTTCACCACCTCTTGCCAGCTTTCCTACCAGGAAAACCATCCTATCATCTCCTGCCAGCTACCGCATCTCTTCCTTTTCCTTTTCCTTTAACCCCAGCACCGTTTCCTTATATGCCCTTCCGCACTCACAACAACTACAATTGAAAGCTTATCAAACTCCCAAGCGTCGTTTTGTCCGGGAAGTTTTTCAAGTCTGTAGGTATGACGCTGAACATGTTTCGTAGATCGTTCGATGCTACGGGTGAGATCTGGGTTATGGCTATGAAGAGGAATATAGCAAAGAGTAGGTGAGAAGAGTGGGATGAATGATCTTAAGGAAGGAAACGCAGATGGGATATTTGGAGGATGAAAAGTGTTAAGTTTGAAAAAAAAAAGGATGCAATAATTGAATTGTCTGACACGGGAGATGTGCTCGAGTATCGATTTAATAGTGAAACCTCAATGTCTCGTCAAATGAGGAGGGATAAATGCTAACCAGCTTCGAGTGTATAGATTTGTATAATCTATGCTTGTATATCTACTGTTTCACTCACAGTCTCTCCCTTCAAGGACATTGGCTCAACAGACACATAATGCTAAAGCTAAATAACAACGTCAAACTTACTCGAGCCCTCCTAAAAGATACAACTTCGTACTTAGCAACAATCTTTTGTCGATGCCAATAAATCTTAAGAGTAGCTCTACATCGTACATCGAACACATCGGATCTTCGATGCTAAGAGCTAATAATTCGCAAGTTTATATTACCTTCACTCGCAATCTTCAATTCTTCCTCGTTGCCGCTGTCAGTAACGACTCCAGTTGCTCTTCGATACGAAAAACTTGAATGCCATTAAACCATGTGCCACACTTCACTTCGCGAGTTGGAATACCAAAAACCATACCAGGAAACAATTGAGTGACATAGTGCCACCTTCTCAGACAATCAGAGGTAAAACGAGCTGCGCACCAATTTTAGACCTAGAGGAAAGACTATTAATCCATCGAACATCAATTGAGTCATAGCGAAAAACTAAAGCTCTAAGAATGCTTTAGTTACCGGATCTGAAGAGGGATATTGAATAGTATGACAGTCAGTATTGAGGCGCCGCTGAACCCTCAAATGGTTTAATCCACTTTTCCAAACCCCTTTCCCGGAAAGATGAAGGATCACTGCTCGGACTCTGGTGAAAACAGGCAATCTACACTTGTCGTTCGGGATAAGACCACTAATTAAACCCCTTTACTACTCTGTGGATGCCAAACCAAAAGCATGGCGAATAATAAGTCATTGCCTAAGCTTGAAAATTAGAAGCAGTTCTCGATTAGTCTCGTCATGTAGGTATAACAAACAAAGGAAGGAGATCCAGTTTGTCTCTTGAAACGAGACTTCCCGAATGGCTGGAAGAGTGCGAACGGAAGGTGAGTGACTGTTGCATGATTGACGAAAAGGTCTGACAACAGAGTATATCGAGATTTCTCCTGATTGAAAGGTTTCCTCGTTATCCCAAGAATCCTCTGTATTTCTGAGCCTTTCAAATTTTTGAAAATGGTTGATCTTAGAATGACGCAGTCGACACAATGGCTCCCCATTCCATCTAAAACTGTCAGCGAAAACAAGTGCATGAGATTGACGCCATCCCTCCTTGTGATGATTGGGTTTTCAATCTCCTGTGAAACTGAGATATTCGCGATGTTGTGGAGCAAATCAACAGATTATAAATGTGCAGCTAGTGATGTTAAGAGAATAAGACGCATTTATACCTGCTCGCACTGCGACTAATTAGGTATCATTTTTCTATATTACGGATTCCCTGCAACCAATCTGCTTCATTCGTGTACAGTTTTCTTCCCCCCCCTCCTCCTCCCTCATAAGCACCCAGTCCTCTACTACTTAGATCACATCCATCCCGTTCGTCCTCTCATGCAACTAGTAATCTTTTTTATGCAAGATTTACTCAACCAATTTTCATCCACAAGGGCCACGACCAGCAAACAACTATGAAACCAATGCCAAATCGTAAGATGAAAACAATTATGCTAATTCCATACACAAGTTGCCTTTCCCCCAAATGAATCGAACACCTGCGTCGCTATAAGGAAAAAGATAATGCTGCAAAGCAACAGGAAACTATAAAAATTCGGCAGCCAAACACATTGTTTGATAACGGCCTATTGAATTACCGCGGTCATTCATATTTTGTCCACTAAATATTGCCCAGTGGATGTATGTTGCTGAAACCAAACTGAATATACTCCCTGGATGAAAAAACACAAATTGTAGGGTATGAAAACAAAGGAAATTATTTTTAAAAAGAGGTGATCAACGTAAGCCGATAACACTCATCTCCAACGTCCACACTCTTCGAATCCACACCTTTAATTTTCCCTCCACACCTTCTACATTCTCCAGTTCGACACCTTCCCACCAACATCTTCTTGCAGGTTTTCTCCAGAAAAGCAGAAGCTTTTGTGCCATACCTACAGCATTACTACCCATCTCGTTGCCACGGATATCAGTTCGGAGGCGAGCTAATGCGAGACTGCATATGACAGCCTTGTTTGGTTCTCCTGCTCGGTGACCCCAATGATCGTCATGGTTGAAACCTCTGTTTCTGTATTAGTTGAAAGTCTATGAGCATCCTTATCAAAATTGAACATACCCAGCAGTCAACATCTCAATCAAATGTTGTTCTGTCGTGCCTGTTTCTTCACTTCTTCTCAATCCAGAAAATATACCATCTTGTTTCAACAATGCCTTCCCAGCCGCTCTCTTCACCTCTATCATCTCCGGTTGTTCGATATCAGGTCTAGGAGGAATTGCATAGAAGTCCAAGTCTTCCCTCAAAACAATTATCCCGGCTCTGTCTTGTAACATCTCCCTGGCGGATCCTGCCATTGGTTCAATTGGTATAGCGTCTGCGTCTGGTCCCGGTGAGTTTGAACCCGATGGAATGGTTTGCGCCACGTTGCGAAAGAATTCAAGCATGTATTGTAAGGATGCAGGATCGTACTGAGAGAAAAGGTCAGCTATATGTATGTCTAAATTTGACAGTATATTGCGAATAAATAATGGAGCATCACGGACATCAACCTGGAAAGCATCCCCTTCGTGGTAGGTACTTAAATGGCCATCCGGTAGTAAACCATTGGGAAAGAGAGATAGGAGGACGAATTCAGGAAGTGTTAAGAGTTCATCTCGAGACAATGTAAATCGAGTGCCCCTAAGTTATGAGATTAGTAGATGCGGACAATTGATTTAAATATTCCATTTATAGCATACCGAAGGTCCATGGTGATGTTCTCATCTGCGCCGACATCTAGAGAACGTCAATAATTGATTCACCCAACAATTGATGATAATCAAACCCTACCTCCGAGAGTGTTTATAGGTGCTGCACCTTGCTGCACTTGAGTAATGATACTCGCAGCTCCTCCGGCGGCCGCCATCAGATATGTGAATCCGTCGAGTGGACTTGAACCTTCTGAATACGCAGGTGGTGGCTCGTTTTCGTCGTCTTTCTTTGAGGATTCGCCTTTAGTGTCCTGCGGTAGTGCAGCTTTTGTTTCCGCCTCGACGTCTCTTGAGGAAGTAGAAGCTTCGTGAGATTGTCGATTGTGATCGGACGCGACAGGTGCGTATTCCGGAGCAGCAGGAGATGTAGATAGAGATGCGCCTGCTTCAGTGACGGCAACCTTGTAAGCCTCGACAGCTTCGGCAGTTGAGGTATAAAGGGAAGAAAAGGGTGGGGGTCGTGGTGAACAAGGCGTAGAATGCGATGGCTCTGAATTAGGGTATCTAGGGGGTGGTGATTGAGTACGATCTAGCTCTTCCTCCAACTTCAATTCGTGCTCTCCTTCTGTAATATTATCTAGCCCAACGGACGGACCGTCGATGGCTCCTTGCGTATTGGACAACGTGGTTGCTGAGATTTTCGGGGAAGTATTTGAAAATGAGATTTGATACAAGGATTAAATTTTAATTGATTGAATTGCGGAAATTGTTTATTGGCATTGAAATGCGAACCAGAATGTCAGTTGTGGTGCGATATGTATTGAGTGTTGTGTATAATTGATTCTGATCAATTTAGGAGGGATTACATAAGCGTGATGTTACTATAAAGAGCTTAGCGTAATCACAAAATATCAATGCATAACCAACGTAAGAGCTATGATTGGTAGCCGCTGAGCGCTTAGAGTTGTATTAAGAGAATCGTTTATCTATCAGATGAAAGCTTAAGATTGACTATGGAACTTATACGATAGCCTTGTGTGTGTATAGATTCAAGCTAGGGGACATACATCTAAACATTCTTGCGAATACTTCTTATCTTTAAAAAAGAGTTATATGTTTGTTCGTTCGATTCTGCTGGTTGACTTCTAGGTAGTCATGTTTGGATAGACATGCTCAGATATTCATCTCGTGATACATTTATGTCTGAGATTCATATTTTCGATGAGCACATCTAGATACCTAGCTTCGATTCACCTGTATCTTTCACCTGTATCCAGGCAATTTGGATGTTATAGGTCAAGTAAAAGGTATCACTTGGCACGAGCACTTCAGCCTCTCCTTGGCTTACCAGTGGTAGGTATACCTAAGTATTTGATGTTCTTTATAGTTTGTGGTGAGCCAGTTTATATAGACCATCTAAAGCCAAATGAAATAGTCTGACATCAACTGAAGCGTATAAGATGACAATGTCAAGACCATTAAAGATCAGTCATCATGCACAAAGCG